CAAATTGGCACCTCTCAGGCTTTCATTCACACTTAGCATGGTGTTAGACTTGCTCTTAAAATTCTGCATCCTGTCATACCTCATAGCTTAATTTAACACGGTTATCTAAAGTTGCAACACAACGTTACCCCCACGATGGCTGTCAGCTAGAAGGCCAATCCCTGTCTCCAGGAAGGCATCCTTTTAACTCAACAAGGAAAGATAAAGAACTTACCTAAAGAAGGTACAATACATTTACTGCTTAGTACAGTTAAGCCACTTCTAGTGTGTTACTTTTTCTAATGATTAGATCTCTCTACTTTCTAACATTTAAATCCTGGCATAGAACTACAGCAATCCTGTCACTCCAGATTAGCCCCTGTGGTCTAAAGAAACACACATGCCCTTTGGTACTTGAGAGAAAAACCTACCCTGCCTTAACACCTGTCAGGAAACACTGACATATCTAGCTCAAACCTGCTTTACTAGCAACACAAGGAAACATGCCCGTTCTCCTCATTCCTCATATTCACCAAAGAACACAGGGGCTTCCTTGTCTTTTACTTGTTTTTACTCTTCATCTTGAAAGAATTTAATCTGGACACTATATGAGGGCAGGCTTGTCTAGATGAGGGGCATGACTGACCCACAGCATCAGCAGACTTGGTAAGATGGTGATGCACGCCATCCCATTCACTCTTCCCGATCTCCTGCCACGTGACTGTGAACAAGGATGGAGTTTTCATCTTCCCCACTCCAGGGTCTACCACAGAGTAGATACTTTGCACTTACAGAGTAAATGAACATGGTTCTGTGACCTACGCAGCGGAACAAGGACCCTGCTGCATACCCAATACTGCAAACTTTTGCCATCCTAGCTTACATTACCTTGCAAAAAAGGTGACAGGTACAGCAACGTGACTCTTTCATGCACAGCGATTTTATGAATGTGAGATTATAAGTGACCTTGAAGAATGTTTCCAGTTAGTTAAAACAACACTTGGTTGACAACTAATATATGGCTCCCTAATCTTACATTTCTGGCTCCTCTAGGCACCACCAAAATAGCCCTTTTAAAGTGTATTTTCTAATCTGCTGTAGGTAATTTTGAAACTGCAGTTAGAGACATTTTTCCTCATTTGCACTAGCAGAAAAAGGAACACTACAGGTATTTCAAATAAATTAAAACAAAAGCTACCTTGAAACATGCCTTGTAGACACAAAAGTACACACAGGAATTTATTTCACTGACATTTCTACCAAAAGAAAAGTGCTATACTGTGTTGAATATCTTAGAATTATAAGAGTCTCTCCTGTCTGGGGCAGGTTAAGTGCTGAGCTTTATCGCCAGACAGGATGATGCACTCCCATGGTTTACTCTCGCTATGGTGTTCTGCCTTTTGGCTTTTTTCCTGATTTGGATGCTATTTCAAGACAGTTTCTCCGAAATGAACTGCAAAAGACTGTTCCTGTTCCCCACGTGAACTCCTATCTAAGTGATTCCCTATAGATGCAAGCAGTGAAAGAACCACTGGGGGTAATTTCAAAATAAGAATCCTATTTCCTCCCAATTATTCTATTGCAGAAACTTATTCAAGTAGTTGCCAGATGCGTTAAACACATCTACTAATCCATGCATTCATTCAATCATTCAACAAATAGTTACTGAGCTATGATGTATGCCAGAAACTATTCTAGGTACTGAGGACACAGGAGAACAAAAGAGTTATAGACCCTGTGGTCAAAGAGCTTACAGTTTTAACTGAGACAGGCAAAAAAGTAAACAAGTAAATATTATAAAAGATGAGGGGAGATCTGTGAAGAAAAGAAATCAAGACATCACATTAGAGAATAATGGGGATACCCAATTCTGACATAGAATATTACTTACCTGATTTCACCTTCTGGTTCCTTGCTTTGTGGTTAACATGTTCAATTTCAAAGAGCCTCAAAGAGTCAAGCCTTTCATTTGTATTAAATCCCCAAAGCAAATGATAGCTGTGTTTTTTTAATTGGCCACCTGCATCCACAATTTAAAATCTGCATGAGAAAAGGAAGGATGCCCTTTGGAAAAAATGTTTCCCCTTATGTTCACACAAAATGAATTTTTAAAATAAATTAAGAATCGTATGTAATGTTACTTTTTTGAAACTAAAAACTTAATTTGAAAGTAAAAGTCATTAATCCTGGCACAAATAGTCTGTCTTAACAATGCACTTTTTTCTACAAACAGGGGAACCCTGCCTATGAGAAATATATAAGACCACTATTACAAGGCTGGAGATCCAGGCTATGAAATAATCAACAGCATTCAAGAGGCACCACCCCATGGTAATGGTACTATGGCATATGCATCATTAAAATCTACAACTACATATGTATGTATTTTTTAAAAAGAATCATTATCTTCCAGAGACACAGAAGCAGATGAAATATCTGTGATTTATTTCAAAATAATCCATGGGAAGAAAAAGGGGGAGTGAATCATTGTTGAAGCTATTCAGTGGGTACGTGGGTGTTTACATTATTCTACTTCCGAATATGTTTGAAATTTCCCACAATAAAAAAACAGTGGCACTATCCATTTGCAGCTTCTATTTTGTTAAATGCCAGGATTTGCTTCAGATCTAGCAAAAGCCAATAGACTCATTAGTTATCACTTGTGTCCTTATAGCACACATTTATTTATCCCAGGGCTTAAAAGAACACATACACACACACACACACATGCACATAAACAATCCTCTTCTAAAAGTGTCTATACTTGGTATAATCTAAATAAAATGTAGATCACCACACACCAATCAGAATGGCTGTCATTAAAAAGGTAATAAATAACAAGTACTGGCAAGGACATGGAGAAAAGGAAACACTTGTGCACTGCTGCAGGGAATGTAAGTTGGTGCCGCCTCTATGGAAAACAGTATGGAGGTTCCTCAAAAAATTAAAAATAGAACTATGATACAATCCAGCAATTCCACTTCTGGGTATTTACCCAAAGAAAACAAAAACACTAATTTGAAAAGATACATGTACCCCTACGTTCACTGCAGCACTATTTACAACAGCCAAGATCTGGAAGCAACCTAAGTGTCCAACAAGACATGAATGGCTAAAGACACTGTGGTGTACATAAACAAAGGAATATTACTCAGCCATAAAAAAGAATGAGATTGTGCCATTTGCAACAACATGAATGGACATAAGAGGGTACTGGCTAAGTGAAATAAATCAAACACAGAAAGACAAATACCATATGATTTTACCTACATGTGGAATCTAAAAAACAAATGAGCAAACAAAACAAAACAGAAAGAGACTCATAGATATAGTGGTGGTTAGCGGAGGTGGGGATGGGATGTAGGTGAAAGGGATTAAAAGGTACAAACTTTCAGTTATAAAATAAGCAAGCCACGGGATGTAATGTACAGCATAGGGAGTATAGTCAATAATAGTGTGATAACTTTGTATGGTGACAGATGGTTACCAGACTTATAGTGATCAATTCGTAATGTATATGAACGCTGAATCACTATGTTGTACACCTGAAACCAATATAATATTGTACATCAACTATACTTCAATTAAGAAAATGAAAAGGAAAAAAAAGAGCCTTAGGAATACAACTAACATAAATGTTTAAAAAATCAACTCTTCCAAAGTAAAAATGATTTAAAGTTTCATAAAAGACATAATTGTCTCAAACTACCCAAATATAACCGACCTACATTTTTCACATCATTTTCAACTGCCCAAGTATATAAAACACTCAAAATTGAATACCATCAAACAAATTAAATTGCAAAAAAATCTCAGCGGGCTACTTTTCCTAATTTACTCATATAAATAATCATTTAATTGTTAATAATTTATAAATCTGAGAAAATTTACCAAAAGCAAACTTATCTCCAGTAATCTGGACAAGGAAGAGACCTCATAGATGTTTAACTCTTAAAACCTTGGAACAACTATTTATTCCCATTTCCATACCTGTTTTCAACCCAAATAATTTCATCTTTCATTCACCGCAGCTAACTCAACAACACACAGCTGGCTGGGCTGTTCCTTTTCTTGTTTCTTTTTTAGCTAATCAATTTGAAGGAGGAGACCATTTTCTAAAAAGATAACCTCATACTTCGTACATTTACTGAAACCACAGCAACCTACCAATAACATTAAGGGATTTTAGTTTGAAAATGGTAAAAACGGGGTAGTTATAGGTTTCTGGATATTGGTCATTTGTCCAATCTTAAGTTTTCAGAGAGACGTGGGCAGAAATGGATGTAAGTAAATGTTTTCATCCTTCTTTGAAAGAGAGAATTTCAGAATCTTCTCAGAGGAGAAAAGGAGTGAGCCTAAGGACTCTACTCCTCCCTTAGACAACAGGGAAGAAATTTCTGAACTTTCTTTTAAAAGGTGTTCTAGCAAAGTAGGAAGTTTCACTATAGTTAACATAATCCTTCCAGTGAGTAATTTCCAAGAAATAGAATCAAATGAACTATGCAAAATAAGACTACAGTAAAATTTTAAAAAGTACATGATATTTCCAACTGTTCTAGATCCTTCATTCACTGCAGTTTTCTTCTCCTCAGAAATTTAACCTTAATAACAAAATACATTTGTGGGTCACCATAATATATGAGAATAAAATGGCTAAAGAGTCGGTTTGTCCCTGTGCTCGATACAAAGCTAGAATAAGGGTCATAGAGCAATGACAACTGGTGGCTTACTGAAGAAAAATCTATAATCTTCAAAATACGTCCTATTTGAAAAAAAATTTGTCAAACTGTACGTTCACTGTCCAGATATGCACTTTTAGACAAAACTAATAATTCCATCAATTCCCTGCTTCAACAGCATAGTAGAATTCTATAAACCACATCCACAAAGTTCCACTGAGTCCTCCTGAATCAAATACAAATGTGCTATAGGCAGCATTTATTGGGACATAAAACAATGCATATTTTAGACAAAGAATATGATTTTCCCCCTTAACTGACAATAATCAATAAATACAAACCTAATTTTCATATTTCATTCATTTATTTATTTTTTCTGGTAGACAGTACACTTGGGAATTATACTGCACCAGGCATAAGAAGTAAGATTTCTACCACAGGGACATTTTGTATTCAGAAGCCAATATAAATATTTCTAGTCAGACATTTCCATGGCTACAGATATTTGGTTGCTTGATTTATATGCATAGAAAGAAACAGTTGTCATAACTGTAAAAAGCAGTACTTAACAAGTACTTTTAAATGATTGGAACAGTTTTCCTTTAATATTCTAATACTGCTTATTGGTTTGAAAACTAGGTCACCCTACATGATGTTTTGATTTTTCCCAAAGGCATCATGAGTACTCTGTTTATTCTTTCATTCCTGCATTTTTAGCCTTCTAGTTGAGTTAGGGACTATTTAATCAGAAATCATTTTAGCACTGTAATAAAAAAAGCTCTGTTAAGGGTAGATTATATACCATAATGATTTTCAGACTTCTTTTTATAAAAAAGGTATCTGGAGGCTCTGAACAGGCACATGCATACTCAGGGTGAAGGGAACAAAACATAGAGGAGTCTCTGCTGAAGCACAAAACTTCCTTCTGGTCCCCAGTGCCTTCAAATAAATACAAATATAAAAAAAAAAAAAAAAAAAAAAAAAAAAAAAAAATCTCACACTGTGATTTAAAAAAAAAAAAAAAAATCAGCCTCTTCAATCTCCTGGGGAGTCCATTTCCAGGAACTTCTCCCAGTGCTGGAGGTCAGTCATCTGTCTTCCGGGCCAGCCTGCAGAAAGTCCAGTTGTGCTCCACTGTGTTCTCGTTGGCCCGCTCACTCATGTGATGCACTCGGGTGTTTCGGATTGTGAAACCTTGTTTTGTAATGTATTCCATCAGGTGGACTCGGAGAGAAACTTCCTGGTGATAATCACAGGGTCCAAAAGTAAAGGAAACCTGGCAATCTCTGGTGTCCATCATGTGCTTATTCCACTTTGTAAAATAGTTTGATATACCTTCTAGTAAGGAATGGACCTTGGTGGTGATGGTTAATTGGGTTATGATGACAGCTACTGGATTGGAGTACTTAGAAAGCTTCCGAGTACTAGATAACTCCACAACTTCTTCAAAAGTATCCATAGGATACAAAGGCTTGGGGTCATTGAGACACTGAATCAAGGGCTCAATCTGATAAAAATCTGCTTCTTTCCGAAGCAGATCAAATTCCTTAAAATCCAGGGGTAAGGTCAACTCTGAAGTTCTCAAGAAGTTGAGGACATATCGGAAAAGAGGTCCATCTCGATCAATGAAGTAATTGCCTTGAGGGTCTCGAGCTGTGGGGAAGTCTCCCCCAAACATAGCTCCAAGCATGGAATCCGGGTAACGCGTCAACGTGGTGAGAGACGTTGTGTACAAGTGTCCACCTACATTTAACGTGACTGGGTCAGTCATCTGAAATTTTTTAAAAAATGATCAGTCATCTGAAATTTTTTTAAATCCTAACTTTGACAAATTAAGAAAATTAGTGGTAACAAGCAAAGCAAAAGATTCAGGCTACAACACATCTAGCAATCCACTGATGCAAAATATAGCTTTATTTTCAGTGAGAAACCCACCCGGATGAAGGGATCTAACATTTGCTTTCAATAGAGAAAAGGGATACGTCTAATTCTTCAAAGCCTTACACTAAAAAAGGAGGACATGGCTTCGAAAGCCACTTTATTTCAGGCCCAGTATCTAGAGAGAAGTTTTCAGGTCAGAGTATATTATGGGAGGAGGAGAGAGGCCAAACTAAAATATACTCATTTAAGTTTTTTTCAGATTAAAAAAAAAAAAAAAACTTTCATTTTTCTTAACTCAATTTAACATAAAATAGAATAAAAATGATTTGATAACATAAAACATCTACTTTCAATATTCCCTTTGTCTTTTCCCCCTCAAAAGGAGGGGGAAAAATCATGAAATTTATTTTAAAAATAAAAATTTGTGTAGACCTAATCTTCCTAACTTTTTCATGGAAATAACAGTATCAAATACTAAGTTAAAATACACAGTTTGGTCAACACAATCTCATATACCCAAAGGCTAACAGCAGCTTTCAAATTTCATAATCTGATAGTATATTCACTTTTGTAACATTAATGTTGCAATCTGGCCTTTAATTTTGAAAAGCAAGCTTCTCTAAATAATACATAAGTTTGGTTTTTTAAATCATATTTAAGAAATAAAATAAGACAGATAAAGACAGGTACTATACAAATAAAATATTTCTTGCCAAAGGAAAAGAAAAATAGGAAGACACATGCACATGCGAAAAAAAGTGCTAGTGGGAGAAGTGGCACCTTCTCAACCGTTAACCTTCCCAACCACAAGAAAATGTCCTCTCTACCCATTACCTACTAGACATTTAACAGTCACTACTCCATGATGGAAGAATTTTAAGGGCAACATACTTTAAAGACCAAAAAAAAAATGATTATAAAAAGTTACATAGAGAGTCCATGTTGAGCTTGCTTACCTAAAAACACCAAACAAAGTTAAAATACCCAAAAAATACATCTAAACTAATGCGGGGGGGGGGGCCGGCTTGCACCATTGATAATTTTCATTCTTATGAGATGTATTATACCTAAGAATACATAAGAGGCAGGGAAAGACACACAAAAATCTTTTGCCAGCCTTCAAAATGCATCTGCAAAAGCCTCTCACCATATAGCCCCAGTCTCCATTATCCATCTGCTCCAGTGCTGCGTCTCGGGGAGCCCAGGTTCCAGGGAAACTTGGGGAAGAGAAAAAGACATGTGACAGTGCATGTAACTATGAAAACAGAATAGAAAAGTTTTCTCACCCAACAGAGCAGGCCAAACACCAGAAAACTATTCATCTTTGCTCAATTAAAACCTGCTACAAGGCAAAGATCTGGGGAGGAAAGGATTCCTCTAAGGCATTCTATGGGTCCCCAAGAGACTGGCAAATCTTTACAGAGAAAGAGTTATCCTATACTTAGAGAAGGTAGAGAGCCTAGTGAGTAAACCAGTCATTCAAACTCTACCTACCTTCTCCGATAATTCAATTTTTAGAATTCCTACGGGAGAACACTATGATTACCTCTACAACCTTATCCTGGTACAAATCTGTGATGATCCTTATCAAAAAGGTTAAGAGAAAGAGAGAAAGGGAAAACTTTTTCATCAGCATTTCAGCTATATAAACTAAACACCATAGCAAAAGCATTAAAAACCATAAACCTCCAAGACACCGGTATCTCTTTCCAGGAGAAATATGTCAGAATGGTAGCTCTTTTGTAAAATAGAAAAACTAATCATACTTTTAATAATGATACATTTCATTTTGTACAATAATCAAAACAAATAGAAAACAGTTAAATGCCAAACCATTAAAGCACAATTGGGGGCAAAAAGAACCTTACAAATCTGAGAGTCAGTCCCCTGGCACTTATGGAGAGCCAGCCTGAAGGCACTGATAAACACCCAGATACTAAAGATGCCAGCTTGAATTTATTTTTATCTACAATTCAAAAGCACTTAAACAGTTTCCCAGCTACTGAACTGCTTTAGTCAGTTCTCCCTCACACACATCATTCCCCAAATCACCAGGCAAAGCAAACTCCAGAGCAAATTTCAAAAGCTTTGGCAAAAGACAGTAAGAAACATGGAGTTATCGGTATTTATCCAGGAAAAGCGCTGTTTGGGTTGTGTGTTTTTGTTTTTTGTTTTTTTTCCCTTAACGTGGTCTTTGCACAGATTCACTTTTCCCACTTTTAGAGGAATCTGGCACACTAATTCCCAGAACAGGCCCTGGCTACAGAAGATCACAAAGGCTCTTTCTCAAAAGGTCACTCAGGCATGTAGAGAACATTTGCATAGCACAGCAGGGGCTGAAATCAGAGCCTGAAGCATCTATTTCTCTACCTTGCAAATTCTTCAAAGCAAACGAGCTAAAATGTGGACCAGACAACATGGGGTCAGTTTTTATTCTCCACACTCAGCAGTTGGATACAGATAGGTCTCCACATGCTATAGGGTGAGAAATGGAACAAATGTCAAATTCAGGGCTGCTGTGACAACCTTTCATTCCTCTGACTTGCTTCATAAACAGTATCTGAAGTAACAGAACCAAGAAACACGTTTTACCAATTTGTATTACGAGCACCTGATTCAGTTACTGATCCAACAGACAGATCAGCAGATCAGCAACTGAGCGATTTAAAAGGCCAGTCATCCAAGAGTTCTGGTAAGATGCCCATCTTTGGCATTTTCCTATCACCTGAAGTATTCATTACTGACAGCCTCAAAAATAATTCAGTCAACCAACATTTACTGGAGGGTAGAGCGAGGAAAGGTATGGTCCTTGCCCTCGTGGAGCTTTCAATCTATGAAGAAAGGCAACAAGCAGCAACTGAAGGACAGAATGAAATTCGAAAGTACTATATAAGGGCTTCCCTGGTGGCGCAGTGGTTAAGAATCCACCTGCCAATGCAGGAGACACGGGTTCGAGACCTAGTCCGGGAAGATCCCACATGCCTCAGAGCAGCTAAGCCCGTGCGCCACAACTACGGAGCCTGTGCTCTAGAGCCTGTGCTCCGCAACAAGCGAAGCCACTGCAATGAGAAGCCCGCGCACCGCAACGAAGAGTAGCCCCTGCTTGCCTCAACTAGAGAAAGTGCGCGTGCAGCAACGAAGACCCAACACAGCCAAAAATGAAAACAAACAAACAAACAAAAAGTACTATATAATAGATGGACTGACGGAGACCTGAGCAAAGGAAGACCAAGAACCATTCCAAATGTGAAAATGGAGGACTTCCGGGAAGAGCTTACTCAATGGAACTCTGCAGTTATATTAGGACAAACTGAAAAGGGATTCTTGAATAAAGAAACAATCTAAGTAATGGGCAGGGGCGGGGAGGGGGAGAGTGTCCCCCCAACATTCCTGATACAGTAGCAGAGCGTGAATAACTATCCCCCTTTTAGAGATGCAAAAGAGAAAACCGGCAGATTAAGAGACTTGCTCAAGTCCCCACAGCTAGAAAGTAAGTGAACAAGAGCTTGGGTTTCCTGACTCCTAGTCCAGATCTTTCCATAAAACCCCTCCTTGGACAGAAATTGAAAGAACAGAATCCAAGAAATGAGAAATCGAAAGGATTATCTTAAAACACCCCTACAGCCATCTGTTAACCCTATCCACCTAGTAGGGATTTATTTACAAATTTAACAGCAACACAAAGTGCGCAATCACAATGGGTTTATAAAAATTCCCCTGAAGCAAAATAGCAAGAACCTACTCACTAGTGTAATTGAACGCTGCTATTCTCTGTCTTTTCTCTCTTTTTTTAACTTATTTATTTTATTTATTTTATTTTTATCTGCATTGGGTCTTCATTGCTGCACATGGGCTTTCTCTCTAGTTGCTGCGAATGGGGGCTACTCTTCGTTGTGGTGCACGGGCTTCTCATTGCAGTGGCTTCTCCTGTTGTGGAGCACGGGCTCTAGACACACGGGCTTCAGTAGCTGTGGCATGCGGGCTCAGTAGTTGTGGCTTGCGGGCTCTCGAGCTCAGGCTCAGTAGTTGTGGTGCCCGGGCTTAACTGTTCCGCAGCATGTGGGATCTTCCCGGACCACAGCTCGAACCCATGTCCCCTGCATTGGCAGGTGGAGTCTTAACCACTGCACCACCAGGGAAGCCCTGTCCTCTGTCTTAAGTGAAGTAAAGAACTCTACTCCATGAATATCCAAACAGTAAGAAATGGGAGACCAAAGACAAGTAAAAAAACAGACATCATCAAAGTTACAGCTGTAAGGACTGTCCACTATTAATCCTTTTTTTTTTTTTTACTGTTAAATCAAAACGATAACTTTTTGAGCAAACACACACACACACACACACAAAATTATATGATGCCCCTGAACCTGTTCCACAGCAAAAGCCAAGGTTCTGTTCCAGTACAAAGATGTAATAAAACCTCAAACTTAATAATTCAGGAAAGCAATTATGGAAATCTATATAAGCCCATGTTTCTTAAAAAGTACCCAAAAGCCTCCCTTCATTTGTGTGTAAGATACATCAAAATAAAATGAAGTTACTACTAGTCACTTCCAATAACAACTACTAAACTATCCCTCCAAATCAAAACATTCACTAAAGAGCTCTAAGGAGAAAAAATAGTATTGATTAGTTTAAATTTTATCTCTGTACCTTACTTCTAAACATCCTCTGTGAAGATGCTCAGATACAGCAAGAACCAAACCAAACAGACCAAAAAAAAGGCAAAGAGATTCCTGGTCAACCAAGAGATGGATAATCGACCTCTGAATTGAGGACCGTCTCAGAGACAATGCAGATGAATGAAAGCAAAAGAACTTCCGGAATAGCTTCAATTTCCAAATCATCTTCCAGAGCTGCTAACAGTTAGAAAATGATTCATTTGCTTTTCATCTTCTCTCCCTTCTGGCACTCTCCAGTGGAGGGCTTAATGAGAAATTAAAGGACCACAAGACAGACAGCAGAAGGAAGATCTTGAAATGGGCATCAAATGGGCCTGTTTTACTTGATGAAGACAAAGAAAAATCCAACATTTCAGAAAACTTTCCAGGAATGGAGATTATGAAGGTAACAATGAAAAAAATTTTTCCTTTAAAGTGCCTTTCCTTACTAACAATCATTTTAAACAACAGTGAATGCAGCCAAGCACAAACAGTTGTAAAGTTCAAAGAAAGACTTCTGACCCTGTAAAATCAGTTCACCTGAAAAGAGCTGACCTTTGGCGCAAATAAAATACATGTGGAAACAACCAGCTGACCGTTCCCAACGAATGTAAAGCAGTACTGAAAATTATGACTAATGTACAAATTCTGACAGTGTAATAATGTTCGCAGATAATTACGTTAAGGAAAACACACACTCAAGAATTTATAAAAGTCTTAAAAGAAATCGCTAAGAATTTTCCATAGTAGCAAATGTGAAAAATACACAATTCAACAAGTTAATGACTTAAAGAGTAGCATAAGAACACCTGAAAGTCATTCTCCTCACCACTGCAGAACTCAATTACAGGCTTCATGGTTATGATGAACTAATTTAACACAAATATTCTGGGTTTATCGTTTCTGCTACAGACTAAGAATTCTCCGGGCTAAAGGTCCTGCTCCTACATAATAACCTATACACTGCAATACACAGCTCCAAACTTGAATAAATAATAAAAATGGATAACTACTGCCTTCCCAAAGTTTCCAGGTAGCCCTTTTAAAACACCTTCCTACTGAAATCTTTGTGTCTGGCATTCAGAAAAGAAGACTCAATAAATTCCATCTATACACACCCCCGAGTTACCTTTGTGCTAAATTTCTCTGTTCTTGGAATGTGGGAGTTTGAAAGTGAAACACTTTTTATAGTAGCTAGTTCAGTGACATCTAAAGGAGTCTTCTGGGTTAACATTCACATACAAGGTGGCACAGGTAGCCAGGCGCACAAGGGAAATGTGATTATGGTGTTAGGTTATCCCAATCATAACCACTGCAGAAATGGATTGTTTTGTCCGAAAACTAATCCTTTTGTGGTGTAGGAGAAAGGTGCTCTACGTTGAAAAGTGCCTTTAATACTAAAGAGCTGCCACAAACAGTCACAAAACCATAAAATTCCTCTTACCCTCAGTTTCTGTAAAATAAAATGGAATAACAGCACCTTCCCCAAAGTAATGACACCACTTGGGCACAACACAAAGGCAACAACTGGCCTACAGGGTAAAAGATCCAGACTAGAATTCTGAAGTCACAGGCAGGCCAGAGCAGAAGAAAGAGAACTGGTCACCGGTGAGGATCTGTATCCCAAGTCGACTCCATTACTAATTATGAGACTCTGAGCAATCACTCTTTATGCCCAGCTGCCTTTTGCAGAAAAGAAAATGAGATCATGAATCAAAAACCATTGGTAGGACTTCCCTGGTGGCGCAGTGGTTAAGAATCCACCTGCCAGTGCAGGGGACACGGGTTCGAGACCTGGTCCGGGAAGATCCCACATGCCGCAGAGAACTAAGCCAGTGCGCCACAACTACTAAGCCTGCGCTCTAGAGCCCGTGAGCCACAACTACTGAGCCCATGTGCCACAACTACTGAAGCCCGTGCGCCTAGAGCCTGTGCTCCACAACAAGAGAAGCCACCGCAATGAGAAGCCCACACACCCCAAGGAAGAGTAGCCCCCGCTCGCCGCGACTAGAGAAAGCCTGCGCAGAGCAACGAAGACCCAATGCAGCCTAAATAAATAAATAAATAAATTTATTTAAAAAAAAACACTAGTAAACTGACAAGTATCAAACATATGTGAAAATACTAGTGGCAGTAGCATAAATAAAATTTCTGTGGTAAATTGAGAAACTTGAGAGTGTGAACACAAGTAATTTAGAGCATGGGCATGGAGACAGGGCGTACATAAAGAGAAGGCCTCTTAATCTGCTTCCAGTCTCCCCGACACCATCCTCCTTTCCCCCAAGCTCCAGAAGGGAGAACTACAGGTAAAGGGAAGCATCTGGCTTCCACAGAGACCACCAGACAGCTGAGCTCTTCATCACAGAAGGAACTTCTCTAAAGCATGACTCAGGATTATCTCCAAGGTAAAACCAAATCCAAACAAATATGTGTATTCCATTTTAAACAGACTCCAAATATCAAAATCCAAGACACACTGAGGGATTCATAGAACCCTAGAATTCCTTTATGCTATAATGCTTTAAAATATGATTTATGAAAATTCAAATCCCACAAACCTTAGAAATGGCATCTATGGCAGTCCCTGACCATCAATCCTTAATATCTATGGTGTTAAACAAAATGAAGCATTAGTATGGCCTGACAGTTCTCAGCCAAAGGGCAAGTTCTCTCAGCCTGCCAACCATGCAGGTAAAAAGATTTTCCTTTTCCTAGCTACACATCTGTTCATTTGAAAACATCTGAATCTTGGGCTCAGTCCTGTGCTAAATGCTGGCCCCTCCCTTCTTTCCTATCTTGGGATCACTCATTACCTAGGCA